GATATTATTACTGAGTGAGTTACTCTTCTATTGAGTCCATGACCTGYAGAGATGAAACCATTTTAATTGCATGGCATCAGATAGGACTAAGAAAGGAGCCATGAATTTACACTTATAAACAATCCTCTTAGTAAAATTAGTTGTATAAATGTTAATCAAAAATTACTGTATGAGAATTATGGGTATGGGAAAAGGGCAGAAGCAAAAAAATCTGCAGTCTGTCACAGACTCTGTCTTGCTCCACTACTGACAACTGTAGAAGGTAAAAATATTGATGGGTTACAAGAGGAAGTTGAAGAATAATTTCTTCTTTGTTGCTCAGAAAAGTAATCTCAAAGGCCTGCCTTTGTTCTCTAACCTGTCATTTTCCATGGATKTATTTTCTGTAGATCTATTGTTGGGATTCCTAACTGTGAAGTCCTAATTCACCTCCAGCCAAGACAAAAGTATCACATCTGTGTGAGAGCCCAGAACCTGGGTGGCTGCAGTGAGAGAAGTGAACCTGTCCTGATAGACACCACAGGTACTGCACAGTTTGGAACAGCTCCAGSAGCCTGCTGCAGCATCTGTTATCTTAACACAAAGATCCTGCTGCTTTCAATGGCCTCTGGATCAGGTCCTCAGCTCTTACAGCTAATTACACACCTGCTAACCTTTTAGGAAGGAAAAAAGCAATTTCTTGTAACAATAGGGCATTGCTTTGGCTCTGCAATTTGTATTATTTCTGTCTGGTACATTTGATASTAGAAAGTTACTAATTTCTAAACATTTTAAAGACATTATCATCCTAATGCCCACATTTTGCTGGCCTGCAGAGTACTGACACACCAATGGGAAAAATAGTGTGATTTTACTACACTTCAGAGATGACCATGTAATGWGGCTGCTGCTGCTGAAAATTATGGCTGAGACAGCACTTTTCCAAGCCATTTAGCAGAACCTGTGTTCACCTTCATCACTGCTGCAGTGACACTGAACTCCACTGGCTCCTCTCAAATCTCCCACATCACTCATGGATGTGTTCACACCTTATCTGTGTCTCTTCTGCCCTTACCTTCTGTGTGAGAGATTTATTCAGCCAGATGACCACACAAGGCTATATTTTGGTAAAAAACCTGTCTGCCACTTATCAGTGACACCACAGAAAAAAGTGCTCATCCTTAAATCCCTGGAAAGGAAGACTGTCATTGTTTCACTATAATTTCTGTGTATTCATTCCAACTGTTTAAATCAAACTCAATATTTGAAATTGCCCATTCTGTTTGCACAGCATGTGTTTGTTTTCAGCAGCACATGCCTGTAATTGCCCTGTCATTGTTTGTATTGTATTTGCAATGAAGTAACTTGCAGTTTGATTATAATTATTTCATTTGGGATTAGCATGGAGAGATTTATCTTCTCAGAGTCTACATTATGCAAACAGCTGATGCAGATTGATCTGTCAGCTGCAAAAACCCACCKCCAGCACTGTGAATGGCCTTTGATCCTTTCTGGGCTGGATAAACAAGCACCAACCCAAACCAGAGCCCAGTGTGTCAGACCTGCTCTRGGACTCTTTTTGTGGATCCAAACAACATTTCACCACATCCTTGCTGAAAATCCTAATGCTATATGGAGTTATCCTCAGGCATTTTCTCTTGCAGGCACCTGCTTCTACCTTAACGAGGACACAGCCCATCCTTTACTGGCAATTCTAGATGATGGATTTACAATTTCATGTGATGAACTGGAAAATCCAGAGTGTGATCTGCCCGTCTATGATAACAGCTTTACAAGGTATACAGGAGCATTTCAGTTTMTTTGGTTTTTTAATAGATGCCAGGAAATGTCTAATGGGGCTTTCAGCAGCTCATTAATTTTTTGAGTTGAAATCTCTCTCTACAGCTGCTCTTTGGAACTTCAGATGCTTCTATAGAAACATAAAAGGTGTGTGCTTTCCTGTCTGTCCTTCACAGATGTATCGCCATCCTGGGCAGTCTGATCCCATTTCCAGGAAAGCATTACTGGGAGGTGGAAGTTGAAGAAGATACAGAGTACAGAACTGGTGTGGCTTTTGAGAACACTCCAAGACATGGTCACCTGGGGGCAAACAACACATCCTGGTGCATGAGGCACATCATCACACCCTCAAGGTAAGGCTKTGGAGGCTGCAGGTCTCTGACAGGAATATCTCTTACACTTGCAAGCAGGGCAGCAGAGAAATCAAGAGATTTGGTACCAGCTCAGACCAGGGGCCTCTGACATTYCACTGTTGTCACTGTAAACTGGTGTTGGAAGGATACTGGAATACTTAAACTCCTGCTTTTTTAGGGTGTCTCAGAAGCATTTGGCATGGGTTATTTTGCTCAYGTTCCTTGCTTCTGAACCTGTGTTTTTGCAATTTGCACCTTTTGAAGCAGCCAGTTCCATTGCCTTTGAGCCAGTGCTACTGAATCAAGCTGAAGGGTCTCTCTGTGGGGCTGTCTCATTKAAAGGAGACGTTGTCACATTGAAACAGGCAGTTCCAGGAACAAAGCTGAATAAAATCTGAGTTGCAGAATTTAGCTGTGAATATTACCAAAACCTCAGTGGGAASACAGAGAGTACTAGATYCCTGGAACCCAAAACCATGTATCTGGCTAAATCCAGCTATACCCAAGTGGTTTTGATCTCTGTCCTACCTCTGCAGTATGCCATACCTGCCTGCAGAAATGCCAGCTCCCATCCCAGCTGCACTGCTGGCTCTGTCCTGGACACTGGAATCTCAACATCACTGCCTTTGACTCTGCTGAGCAACCTGGGCACCCACCTGCACATGGTGCTTCCCTTTGGAAACAGCCAGGGTGCCTTCAGCTCTTGTGTTTCTTGCCTACAGGCACAAGTACGAATTCCTGCACAGCGGGATGACCCCTGACATCAGAATTACCGTTCCCCCCAGACGGATTGGCATCCTGCTGGACTATGAGAACTGCAGACTGTCATTTTTCAATGCAGACATTGCCCAGCACCTTCACACCTTCACCTCACACTTCCAGCATTATGTACACCCCTGCTTTGCACTGGAAACACCGGGTATCTTAAGGATCCATACCGGAATTACACCACCCCCATGGACTGCCCTCCCATAGCCTGTGTCCTGCAGTACCACCTACCTGGAACCTGCACTGAGCAATGCCCTCTTTCAGCATTAGCTGCTCCATCACACTCCCCAGGAACCAGCTGTTTCCCAATAAATTATTGTTTCCCAATAGTTCCCCCTAGGGAACCCCAATTCCAAAGCAATCATTAAGTCTATTCCTGAGTCTACTCATAGAGCTAAAAACCTCAAAGAAACAAAAATAGCAAAAGGCATAATGACTGTACAGCTGCTGGAGCTGAAAACACTTCAACCATGAAGCTGATCTCACAATCAAGTGTTCTTGTTGCTACATAAAGTCTGTCACACAAGATAATCAAATACATCTCCCATGTATCTTAACTGTTTGTGTCTACATCCCCAGTGAGGCTTTCTGGAATACCCAAGCTTGCACTAGGCTCAAAAGTAAACCAGTTTTACAGAATGCCCATGCTTCTCATTCATTCATCCAGGGAAGAAAAAAAAATAGGAATTTTGCAGTGCTTGATTGCCATTTATAGAGAAACCTAAAGCAACATTTTTAGTYGCTTCTTTTTAGGTATGCTCACCTCCGCTTGGGTGTGTCCTCCCTCCACTCAGAAATCTGCTCTCCCCCTCAGCACTGAAGAATTCCACCCCAATGATATTCACATGAAGCTCTRTGTGTCCTCTGGGCCTGAAGTACTCTGGCCCAGAGCTGAGATGCCTTTGTTTGGGTTTCATTCCCAAACACCAATTCAGACAGGCCCTGCCTGTCAAGCAAGCTTGGCCAGCTCCAAACAGCCTCATCCGTGAATGTCAAAACTACTTCAACKCAATCAAGAGCCATTAACAGAGAAACTTTTCTACAGATTTATTGCACATTCATTACAAAAATCATTGGTTCAAGTTTCYATTCTAGGCAATGGCCACGAACAGGCAGTGGCCTCTACAAATACACACTGCTGGCAAAACCAGATAGTACAGTTCTCCATAGAACTGTGTGTCAAAAAGCTTGTCTATTCTTCCTCAAATAGCTTTAAAAAAGTCTTGCCAAAACAGGCCCTTAGAAACCACAAAACCAGAAGCTGAGTATGTCACTACAGCAGTAATTGGTACCATCTGCTCTTGGCTGTTTTACAAGCCTCTAAAGATGGGTTTAGCAACACTGAGCTATACCAGCACATGTGATTTCTTAGCCTACCAGCAATCAGGAAATTTGCAGGGCAGAAAAGGCTGTTATGGTCACTTTTGTCAGATCTCCTGTGAGCAGGCCAGACTTTCAGTTGCTCTACCTGCYGGTGAGCAGAGCAGCTTGTGGCCACCAGGAACAGGTGACTCAGCCAGTGCAGAGGGCAGAAGATGCCCACATGTGCCCTCCTGATGCTGGCACAGCCACCCCAGAGAACAGCAGCTCTAGTGTACAGCTTCAGTGCAGGGGATTCCAGTGCAGAGAAAGCASCATTTCCCTCACTCTGGGTACAACTTCTTTCACTGGAACATGTTTTACCCCACCAGCCAGAAATGGAGAGCCCCCTGTTATCTGCAAGTAGATACCTGAAAGAGTGTAACACACAGCTATCAGAGCAGAGGTATGAGCACATCTGAACCYCCAAGCAGAGCCCTTAGTGCAGAAAGGCTGCTTGTGAGCCCATGATTCCACTCCCCACCATCAGCTTTCACCTCGAGTTTTTAAACCATCACTGTAAACTGGCAAAATACTTTCCAACTAGTGAACTGAACTGGGAATCTCCAGGACTTCACAGCCCTCTTGCTGGACTGTGCAAGGGCAGATTTTCTGAGCCACATGTGAGGAGCTCAGACACCCTTGCACTGGGACTCCACAARTACCAAACAGCTCTGTTGTCATGTTGATGAAGCTACTGGAGAAGGCAGGCTGGGTGGCTGAGTACTGAGCAGCCTGCTCAGGAGAATGACCCCATGGTCATCACCAGGCATGGTACCAGACAGCTAAGGCAGCGACAGAACTACCTGAAGAAAAGAGCAAATAAACAGCAATTGGCCTCTAGGTTAAAAAGTGAGGAAAATTAGTTTGTGTATTTCTGTTTAATAAAAGTTTCACCTGTTGGCACTAGCCCAAACTTTGTGTCCCTTAGGAATCCCAACCCTGTCACTTAAATATTTACACAGCAAAGGAAASTTAACAAATTGGGATTTATTAAAATGTTGCTCTGGTTTTGGCCAGCTGATGTACCGCAGTGATCCATGCATCCCTGCAGAGCTTGCAGCATCAGGAACTACCAAAGGACAGGACATCCCCAACCGTGCCTCCTCCAGCAGCTAACTGGAGACTTTGCCAGGGTTGCCCAAACCCTTCAAGCTGGGCCACAAAGATCCTTTTTTCCCCAATTCCCTGATTTCAAATACACGCAGTTGCCACTGGAGGGCATCACGTGAAGCCCTTTCCGAAGGCCACAGCGGCCTCACATACATTTGTAAGGCTGAAAAGTTTTCAAAGTGGTTACTGTAATTGTAGGCATGTTCAGTGTCCTTCCTCACCTAGTGCTGGAACCTTCCTCCCAGGAACAAAGGGACCCGAGGGCCTGTGAGCAAAAACACAGGTGAGACATGTCAGAAGCACAAACACAAGAGACAGCACAACAGCCCTGAAATACAGTTCAATGTAGATTCAAACACACACAACCTTTTACTACAGAAACAGGTGACTTTTAACTCGCTACCTCTCACTGCCATTAAAACACTGTAGGTAGATGAAGTAGGTCCTGACTTTATCTCACAGGCAGGCCTTGTTCTTCCACCGTTCAATTTAGGAGGATAGTATCAGTGGAGTCAATATAATGCCACTGGCTCCACTTTCTTAGTCCTCCAGATGAATCTCCACAAGGAACTCCTGAAAATTCTCAGAACAGACTGAGCTGTCCTAAAGCAGCCTGCAGAGCCTAACCACTCAGCCAGGAGGGCAATTCCCTATTCCGCTCAGCTGATTCTTTTTACTGCCCATGTTTCCCGACAATAAGCAGTTTCACTCACCAGCAGCGCACAGGGAGCACGCAAAGGTGAGGCTTTGTCTCCTGTTCAGCTCAGCACCTGGACTCTACTGCAGTCAGGGCCAGTCCAACACACAACACTGCCTTTCTGTTCAATCCTCTCTCTGTCGCGTTTATGGCGGTGTTCAGTTGCCAATATACACTGTCCTAGCTCACCCTACTTAAACCTTTTGCAAACAGGCTGGTCTTTTCAGCTTTCCTTGCTCTGACGGAAGCGATACTGAAACCTGAACTGCTTCATAAAATGGCTGCAAGGGGCTGCACCCTCTGCCAAAAGGGCGCTCATCCCACAACTGCTGCTGAACAAAAGCRGGATTCTCCAGATGCAAAGCCTGGCTTAAACAGCTCCAGAAGGGCGGCACTAGCGGGTCTCGCTACTCCACAAAGCAAGCCCCACGGGCGGCCCCTCCTCGGGCGCACCGGGGCCTGGCGGGCAGCGCTTACCTGGGCCCGGGCACGGGGCTGCGAGCGGCGGCGCCTCCTCACGGCCCCGGGCATCGCCTCCTCACGGCCCCGGGCATCGCCTCCTCACGGCCCCGGGCATCGCCTCCTCACGGCCCCGGGCATCGCCTCCTCACGGCCCCGAGAATCGCGGCGGCGGCTCCGGCACGGGACATGTGGAGCACGGACACAGCGCGGACGGGCCAGGCCTCGGCACTGCCGCACGGGGCCCGCTCCGGACACGGGGCCRCTCCGGGTGCGAGTGGGCGCAGGAGGCTGAGCCCGAGTTCCGCCGCTCTCCGCTGCCGGCAGCCCCGGGCACCCCAGCCCCCGCCGCCATGGGCCACCCCCGCCTCACCCCACAGCACCGCCATTTCCGCCGCCGCCGCTCCCGCCCCCGGGCCCTGACTGAGGGCGGGGAGAGGGCGGGCCGTGACTGAGGGCGGGCCCTGACCGAAATTGGAAATTGATGGTACTTTTTCCTTTAGYTGCACATGGAAAAGCAGCCGTTGGCTTTTTGGCTGTGTGGTGCTGTCTCAGTCTCTCTGTGGAGTTCTGCACATTGCACATATCTCATGACTCTCTGCTTGCAGTACAAGTATCACACTAAGCTCAGGGTGATCTGAGCAGAGGAGGTGGGAGTAGATCGGAACTTTGCTCAGCCACAGCACTTTGGCATTTCAGGTATAGACTGTAATAATGTGAGCATGTATTTGCAACCAGACTTGGGACAGATTTCCTTCAAAGCCAAAATCACCTAAGAAGTGGATCCATGGGTAAGCAGCAGCACCCATGAGACAGATTATTARCAGAACTAAGCCAATAGAAATAAGTATAACTTCAAAATCAATGTACTGGGAAGGACTTTTAAGTCCAAGAAAATCTTATCAAACATATTCCATTTCATCTTCAGCCTGAGGACAAGGCCATAGCGAGCTGGGGAGCTGCAGGATCACCAGGCTGGCTCATTCTCCTTGGTTATAAAACACGCTGCACGCTCAGCTTGGCACTCAGCATGCTCAGCTTGAGCTAGGAGCTAATGTAATGAACTCTGGGGCAGGATTTACATCAAATACCACTCTGCAATATTAAATACAGACAGGACCAATTTCTCACTTGAATAATTACACACTGGCTACATTCCTCCTTTTTTTTCAAAGACTGGAATCACCTTTCTCACTTCCTCTTGAAAACCGTATGCACTGGTGTGCTATTTCACTACCTGTGTGATAAAAGGATGAAGTAATTTCTGTTGCCTCACCTGTCTTTTGCACCTCCTGCAGCTCTGACCGTGAAGTTTCTAACCAGGAGGTTCATCAGCGAATATGATCCCAACTTGGATAAGACACATTTTCATCCCGTGGACCATCCTTCCCATCTCCCACATTTCCCATAATTATAGCATGTAAGAGGGGAAAAAAAACAACCTACCCAAAATGATAAAAAAAAAAAAAAAAGAAGAAGGGATGGATTTGACCCAAAATTTTCTGCAAAAACAGAGGTGAAAGCAATGCCCTCTCCAGGGACATATCCCATGGGGAACGTTGGCTCCTTGCATTGCCCCAAGGAAACTGGAAGTTGAATTCTTGGGGCTCTTTGAGGAGCATCTTGTGCGTCCTGCTCRCTACAGGGTTGTTAGGCAGGGAGAGGGCTGAGGGAATGAGGGGGTGTGCAGAACAGGTGACCCTGAGGCTAAGTTTTGCAGTGAGCAGTTCTGGGCATTTTTTTTTCTACTAATTTGAGTAATTAATAACTATTTTCCTAGGCCTGACTCCAGGACGTGGGGAAGAACCACGAATGATTTATCAGGGACATTAGGGAGATATGGACCTTGTCCAGGAACCGACTCCAGCCCCTATTAATTCAGTGACTCCTAGAAAGAAGGATAAATCCTTTCTTCCTCAGATATTTTCGGGAATGTGGTTTCATCTTCCCATGTCAAAACTATTCTGAAATACATCCATTAAAAGCTGTCCCAGAGAAAGCATCTTTCTCCTGGGGGAATGGCTCAATGGCTCTCCCTCCCTACCTTTCTTCCAAAAGAAAGGATYGCTCCTCTCTCACTTGATTTATTTGGAAACAGTCCCATGTCAAGTCCCCAGCTCTCTTTATCTCACCAGGCCATGGCTTTTAGATAAGGGCCAAGCCCTGGGTGCAGTGATGGTTGTGCCAAGCTCCTTCCTGTCCCTCCTTCTCCTGTGGGAGCCCACGTTTGCAGCAYRCAGGGAGAAATAAACGCTCCTAGTCAGGCTCACCCAGCAACATCACCACAGTCCCCCAAAATAACATCTCAGGAAGGAGCAAGGTGGGAGGCATTGGTGGAGGATGCTCCTCATCAGGGCTGAAATTTTTCCATGGTGACCCAAGCATCCTGGTCTTTGCCTGGCTTTGAAGAAGACAGGACTTGCCAGCCCATCCTCACAACCACCCTTCTTGCAGAGGACACCTACTCCTCRGAGGAGCTGGTGGACCAGCAGCCTGTGCTGCTGAAGGTGATGGACACCGCTGACCAGGTGAGGCACTGGGGATGATGAGTAGCTGGACCACGGCTGAACTTCAACTGGACAGTGGCTCAGCCACTCCTCTCACCCCCAGGACGGCCCCGGGAACTGTGAGCGCTACCTGTGCTGGGCCAGCACCTTCCTCGTTGTCTACAGCATCGATGACAGGAAGAGCTTCGAGGGCTGCCAGCGCTACCTCGAGGTCCTCGCCCTGCATGCGYGGGGCTGCCAGCGCCGCTGCCCCGTGCTCCTGCTGGGAAACAAGCTGGACATGGAGCAGTACAGGTATCGGGCATGCGGTAAGGCTGCCTGTTCCCGTGGGAGAGAGCTCACAGATCCCCCATACCCCCCAGCTGTGATACAAAAGCCAAATCTGATTTTTTTACGGGTATTTCCACCCCCATTAGTATTTGCAACATTGCAACATCCTCCCACATCTCCGAAGTTTCTGCTCTCCTGCCTGAGGGGTGATGTGTTTATTTTGAGCCCATTGGTATTTTCAGTAGGATGCTTTTTGGCTGCATGATGAGGCAGCGTCACCATCCCTGGCAGGGCTTGAGCCAGAGGAGCCCCTCTGGACGTGCCCTTTCTTTCCCTGGAGCCCTCCAGTCCCAGCCCCACTGCCAGGACTGGATGTGCCTGATGTGTTTTTCTGGCCTTTTTGTGCCGCTCTGTGGTCCCAGGGGTTCCTGAGTCATGTGCAGTGCTGAACCCCTCGTGCTCCCAGGATTGAGATGTCCTCCTCCCCACAGCAAGGACCTGCCCCATCTCCTCCCTGCTTCCCCATGCACTGTCACCACACCCACCCCTGGGTCCCTGGAACACATCCCTGACACAGGAACTGATGTGATTCCCCAGGGACACAAAGAGACCTTTACTCTGGGATTTTGGGAAAGGCAAAACTCTTTTGGATTCATGTACCTGCTTGTCCCAGGGTAGGGATGGGCATGTACTACCCTGGTGCTCCTTGGGAAGCAGGCATGGGATGCAGGATGTGTTGCCTGCACCCTTTTCGGGTGGCTGCCATGCCCAAGGGATCCTGCACCCATCCCCTCCCCTCTYGCCAGGCAGGTGCCCTCAGCAGAAGGGATGTCCCTCGCCAGCAGGTTCGGGTGTCTCTTCCATGAGGTGTCRGCGTGCCAGGACTTCGCCAGGGTGCAGCACATCTTCCACGAGGCCATGCGGGAGGTGCGGTGCCAGGCTGAGTGGAACCTGCCCGTGCGGCCACTCTTCATCTCCGAGGAGCGGCCCTGCCCGCCGGTGGCCACGCCAGTGGCCCTGCCCACCCAGCACAGCCTGGCCACCTTCAACACCCTCTCCACTGTCAACTACAAGGAGATCCCCTCGGTGGCCCAGGCCAAGCAGGTTACTGTCAAGTCCTCATGGGCTCAGAGCAAAAGGAAGGCTCCCATGCTCACCTTGCTGAAAGGCTTCAAGATATTTTAGGACACATCCCTGTGGGCTGCAGAGAGTGGGGAGAGAGACCCTCATCCATCCTCCCTGCTCCACAGGGGCTGAGACCTTCCACGATGGACTCACATGCACTGCAGCAGCCGCTGGCAGATGTGGCCCCAGTCTTTGTGCCACAGCAAAGCCAGTGGTGGCAGCTCGGTGAACAGGCAGGGTGCCAAGGGTCTGACATGGGCTGTGGCATCACTGCCTGCCCCTGCCCAGTGCTGCTGCGGTGTTTGCACCCTCTCTGCCACTGGCACTGGGGCCGGCTCACCCTTCCATGAGGATGCAGCAGCTCCCACAGGAACCAGAGCTGGGGATACCAGTGGGAGGGCAAGGGCCATCCCCACAGCCCCCAGCCAGCTCGGGCACCTGGCACACAGCTACAGGAGCCCAGGACGGGGGAATTAATCATAAATCCAGCATGGAGGCACCCATCTCGTTCGTCCCTCAGGTCCCCGACTGAGCAATAAGTAAGATGACTTTTTAATTTTTTTTTTTTAATCCAGATAAAAAGGTGCAGATACTGTTTCAGCTGTTTAAAGGCCTCAGGTGGCCTGAAACTGATTCCCACACATCAAACCAAGTCACACCAAAATTGCTGCTTTTTTAATCAATTTTTTACACTATAGCATCCCTTTCCAAAAGCTTTGCAAGAAGACACTTTGCTGACGAGGGCATGGTCTGAAAAGCCTTTCTTTAAAAGACTGATGTATTTCAAAYAGCATCCTAAATTATTTCATGGCTTCTACACATGCCCAATGAAGGACACAAAGGGAATCCTGGAGCAGACCAGGCTCTATCTGTGCCCAAGTCAGGGCCAAGGGATGGATGTTTGGTTTCAGGTRCTCTATCAGGTTAAATGTTCTGCTTCTCCCTGGAGTTGCAGTTACTTTGCAGAGTAAAATATCCATGTGCATATTTGTACATATAGCCATATAAATATATATATATGGCCTTACTGACAGAGAGATCCAATATGGCATCTTGATCAACCTTTGGAAAGTAYTTTAATAAAGAGGATTTCTGAAAAGAATAAAAATGCCTCAGCTTCAGTGTTGCTGTTTTCCTGCTGGGAAGTGAAGGTGCATTGCCTGGCTGACTGCAGGACAAGCCTCCCACCTCCTCCCCTGGCTCAGCTCCCACCTGTTTGCAGCACCTGAGGAAGGAGACGAAGCTGGCACTGGAGGGAAGGCTGGAGAGAAGTGGGGGAACACCAGCCTGGCAGGAGCTGAGCCCAGGGCCCCTCCTGCAGGTGCAACTCTGCTGCTTTCTTGTTTCACTCTTTTCTTTCCCCAGGCTAGACTGCATTTTTAAACTTCCATCCCCATGAACTGAGACATTCTGATGTCTTCCTTAAGGCCTAAATGGGCTGACTTCAGCTGCCACTATATGGCCTCCTCAGACATCCCCGTGTACAGGGATGTGACAGTCCCATCCTTCCACTGGACCGTCACATCCCCTGGTCTCTGGTCCTGGGRCACTGGCTCCTGCTTTTGCAGCTTGACCGGGCTGTCTTCCTGCACAGGCATCAGGGCTTGCTTGGCATCCAGGTCAACCTGCTCTGGGGCTTGTGCTGCTTCTCCATTCATCAGGCTCTTCCTTTTCCTGCAGGGAAGGCACAAGGAGGAGACACGGAGTGAAGCAGCAAGCCCAGCCCACATCTGAGGGCACCTACTCTGGTGATGATCACAGCCATCAGTTTGCACCATGTCCCTGGAATCCACCAGCTGCTTACAGGCAAATGCCACCACCCGATGAGCTGTGCCAGGTAAGTGCTCTGAAGTGTTTGAGCAYACACAGCTGTGAGATTCACACTTGGAGAGCACCCAGCTCCCAGCACCAGGAGCAGCATACAGCCAGCCATCACTAGAGGGAGAGCGAGTCAGGCTCGTAGCATCAGCTCTGCTTTYATCTGAAGACAGCAGCTCTGACACAGAGCTAAGTTTTCATGCTGTAGCAAACAGTGAGTTGCTCCTCAACTGTGGGGCTGTGCAGCAACAGGAGAAAAGTGTGAGGCTGCAGATGAGTAAAGGCTGGGAGTCCTGCTCCAGGGCCCCTGTASGCAGGGGAGAGCACAGTTATCATCACTTCCCTCCCAGCAGCCCTGTTGGGCTGGGCAGAGCTGTGCAGACCTTTATTGGATCCAGGGCCCARAGAAGGGAAGGGGCTTGTTCCAAGTGACACAAGGAGAGCACGCATAAGGCAAGGTTTTATAATAAAAAATGGTTCAAAGGGAATTTGTCTTTTCTCTCCATCACTCAGGGCTTGTCCTGCCCTGCCAAACCCCTGTGACTCTTTGCCTGGGAGGGATTAAGGGCACCATCACACACCAAAAGATTCTCAAATTTTTCTGTCTCACCTGTTTCGCACAATGTTGATGCTCAGAAGAATAAGACCCAAAATCAAGGTTGCGAGGGAAAGTGCAAGGACAGAGTAATTCCATGTTGAGGCTGAGGGAAAGCAGAGAGACAGCGTTAGCAGGCACAGCACAATGTGGCCCACAGAGCCTGGCCAGAGGTTTCCTAAGGACACCCAGGATGCTCTGCCCTTGATTTTTGTGGCTTTGAAGTTGATCCTCATGGCACTGACCTGCTGCTATGTCAATCTGCTCCCTCCACTCTGCCAAAATCACAAGAGACCTTTGSTCCCTTGGCAGGCTCTGCCTGGAAAGAGGCTGAACCCCACTSTGGGAGGAGACACTACCTCAGCAAAGCCTCCTGCCTGTCTTCACCTATGGCCTGCTTCTTCTGGAGGCAAGACTGAAAGTTTGTGTGTCTGGGGTAAATTTCCTCCTCAGGTAATGCCCTCAGGCATCTCTGTTAGGCAGGAGAGTTAACAGCCTAGGACTGTGTCTCAACCCAGGAACACCAGTAGGACTTACGGTCTTCTCTGCGGAAGAACCAGAGCAGCTCCTCCAGCTGTTCCAGTTCCAAGCCCAGTGGGAGGGTAACATTGCCTGCTGTGTGCTCGTACACGTGTGTGCTGGCCAGGGTGGTCGGGAGGTTCTTGTGCTCTGCCTCAGCTGTGGAGGAAAGAGAAAGATGCAAAGGTCACTCACTGCAGCCCTTCAGACTTTCCCCTTCACTCCCAGGGTTGCCAGCACATCTCTGGAAGCAGGCAGAGCACAGTCCTGAGTGCACAGCCTGATCTCATGCTGGAGAAGTGGAGAGTGTTTTTGGCTGCAGACCCCATTATGATGGGGCACCAGGGCTGCAAAAACCCCAGGGTGCTGATAAGGCCTTCCCAYACACCCCAGCTCCCACCACAGAGAGGCACCTCTGCGTGCCACAATTCACCCAAGAGTAGCCTTGCCAAGACCAGTCCTGGAAATCTGACTCTAGATTGCAGTTCTCCAGCAATAAATTCCTATTTATCAGGCTGGCTTGTAAACACAGCTTGACTCTACCATTTTTTATCAGAAAAGCTTCAGAGTGTTCAAAGAAGCTGACATATAAGTGTGGCTAACCCGAAGCACAGGACAAACATMCAGAGTGCAGATGGGAATGACACCCAGTTCTGGAACTGGGGTATAACTTTTGCCATGGCTCAGCCAGGCTGCTGCTGGTATATGTACTGAGGAAAATAGCCCCATAGAAAGGAATGAGCTGTATTTCCAGAAAGTTAATGAATTTGCACATGTGGCCTACTTCATCCACACCATTATCCTTTAAGCCAAGTCTCTACCTTGTAGCAGGAAAAATGGGATTATCCAGAAGAACTTCATATTTGTATATGCGGCTGGGATGGATCACGTCTTCACCAGTGTTTCTGCAGCGTGGAGATGCCTGGGAAAGGGAGAGAAAGCTTTTAAGGAGTTGAGAGAGAACCTGATCCCTCTCCCTATTCCAGCTCTATTCAGAGAGGGGATCTGATGTACCCCAGCATCTGCTTCCTCCTGTGAACAGGAGTCTGAGCTGCCAGGACAGGGTGTAGAAATCCCAGGAGGCTCCAAGGTGACAGCAGAGGGTGTCTGGCACAGCCTGGGTTGGACCCCTTGCCAAGGTGAAGCTGTACAGATGTGAGCTCAGCTGCTGTGAGCCAGCCCCTCCCCAAATAACTAAACTTCCTTGCTTGATCCTCTGCCATAATCCTTAGAGAATACATAATTTGGATATGACTACCTGCTGCCAGCCCATGTATGTTAGAATAAGGGTGTGGAGATGAAGAAATGGAAGGCTGGGCTCCAAGAAGAGGCAAGGCCAGCTTGCAATTCAGGCTACAGTGTCTCCCATCCTTCATGGGAACAGAAAGCTCCTCCTTGACCTTTAGTCCCTCATTTGTTGGTGGCATCAATCCAACTTTTATGGCTGCTTATCCAAATTAGTTCTTCAGCCTCCTTTGCAGGGACCTTCCCTGAGTAGGAGTCCACTGTGGACAGCCTTCCTGGCTGTCCACTGTGAGTTGGTGAGACATTGAGGTGGCTCTCCCCAGCCCACAGCTCATCGGCCATCACTCACTGGCAGGTCAACAACACCTCACACCTCACAGGTCAACTCACATATGTCTGTCAGACATTCTGGCCCCACAGGCCATTAATTATTATATGAAGACTTTTATGACAGTCTGATACTCTCAACTTTTACCTGCCTTTGCCGTGTGGCCTGGTGCTGTCTGAAACTTGCTCACAAGCATGTTCCACYGTGCCAGGCGTGTCAACAACGCTGGTGCTGACTCCTCAGGGAAGCATTTGTCCCGTCGGTTATAGACCTAATGATTGCTACTATTTTCCCCCTGTTCTCAATGCTTTCACAATTCAAAGTTCACATTTTATAGCTAACCAGGCGTGCAGGCTTGCTCCCCGCTGCCAGAAAACCACCTGCTAGCAATTCTTTGAGGAGGGGACACTCAAGTACGTGGTCCACTTTGTATTTCAGAAAATATGGGTAAAGCTGCTCCCCACAGTTAGGTGTGCCTATTACCTTCCTGTCCAGGTAACCTTTTGCTTATTCAAATGGATCACCCCTCACAAAGAGGAAATAAAGTCTTGGTGC